GTGCAGAGGGGCATGTTCCCATGAGGCTCTAAGTGAGGAAGTTAAACTTTACCAAAGCAAACAGCTTAAGTTATGCACATAATGATACTTCATATTGGCTGGTGAGAGTGATACAAACAACGTCAACACGATCCTCTTTCACAGTCTGATAACCATGAACTAATATTAATTCTGCAATGTCAGCCGCAACAGTGTTCATCAGAAATACACACTGCTAGTCCCAGCTTGGCTGAAAATACTCGTTTAAAGCATGTCCAAGGCCTTTCTTTTGTTACATTCACCCAGCCCTGTTGTTCCTGCTGTGTTTTATTAGGCAAATATAAAATTAACAACACAGCAATAATTATTTCCTAAACTGGTCCCAACACAAATTTCCAATTTGAGGTCAGATGTATTGCCTAATAAAATTTTTACAGCTGCAGTCAAATCGTGGTAGTTAATTCCTGGAAAATACAATTCTTAATTCGCCAGAATTAGTTTTAAGTCTTGATTCATCCCATAAAGACGAGTGTGTATTACTGCAGTTTATACAAAATGTTCAAATAGTAATATCCAATATAATAGCTCACATAATTTCAGCTAATTCAGTGTTAGAGGTATTTGACCTACTTATACTTTCACTGAACCATACATCACAGCTTTAAGATCATTGGGTCTGATCTTTCTAAATTGCCCTTTCTCGAACTGCGTATTGCTTAATGCTATGCAGCTAAACACAGAACCATGTCAAAGAGGAAAGAATAATTAAAATATCCATGAAGCGGGATTCTATTTATACTCTATTGCTACCAGCCATTTGTCACTTTAAGACCTAGGCCTTAATCACAGTCTCTGAGCCACTGCTCTGAACTGCAAAATTCACACACATATATCTGTAGAATTCAAAACTCATTTCATCTGCTCAGGTTCCCAAAGAGTACTTTTAAAACAATTAAAATAGTAAATGCAGGAATAATACTAATAGCAAATACAGTCAGCACCCATTATGTGCCATCAGGCCCTATTTTAAGTGTTTGACAGATCCTAACTTTTTAATCCTTGCAACCATCCCAGGAGGCAGGTTTTATTATACTCATTTTATATATGAGGGAACAGAGGCAGAGATGGTAAGGAACTTATCACATACAACAAGGTCACACGGCAAATGACAGAGCTGGAGTTCAAACCTTGGAATTCTGGCTCTAAAGTCCATGCTTTTACCATTACTGGTATTATTGGTTTATTTATTTATTACTTAGAGACTGGGTCTCACTCTGTCACCCAGACTGGAGTGCAGTGGTGCAATCATGGCTCAGGGCAGCTTTGGACTCTTGGGCTCAAGAGATTCTCACACCTCAGCCTCCCAAGTAGCTGGGACCACAGATGTGCATTATCATGCCCAGCTAATTAAAAAAAAATTTTTTTAATGATGGGGTCTTGCTGTGTTGTCCAGGCCAAGCCCCTGTTTTTGACCAGGCTGCAATATTATGTAAAACAAAAAACCTTACTACAAACAAATAAATGATCAGTATTCATCACTCACGGTAAGGATTTTTTTTTCTCCTATGTGCTGAGGGCAACAGAAGAGGAATTAGACCCACGTGAAATATTTAAAAATAAGAAAGACAAGAGAATACTGCTTGAGGTTCTGCTTCATGGCTTGTCTCATGTAAATATTTTTTTCTAAGTGTCTAAAGCTTGCTTTTGCATCAGCAAGGATCTAGAAAATTCTCCAAGGATAAAACCTACAGACTTCAGGAAGAGGCCATCTTCTGCAGACCACATACAGCCTGACTTGTTAGTGAGAACTTGCTAGTTCAGTCATGCTTTCTTTGGCCTCTAGAAATAATCTGTTCCTGGGCCAGAGTCTTGGCACCCGGTTTCAGGGCGGTGGAGAGGGCCAGACTTTTGTACCTTGATAGACCTGAGTTAATTCCTGTTTGGTCTCTCCTTAACCATGTGCCCCAAAGCAAAGTACTTAGTGGGTTTTTGCCTTCATTTTCCACATTGTAAGTAGGATCGTATCAATTTTTTTTTTCTGTGTAGTCCATTTGCCCTACTTTTAACACCCTGATTTCTCTGTCAGTTAGAGTTCTTAAGTTGCAAGCAACAGAAACCAAGTCTGGCAAACCCAAGCAAAATGGATTCATTGGAGAAACATGGAAGCCACATCGTGAAATGGAAAACCCAAGAATGAGCTGGAGGAGGGACAGGAATGAGAGCTGCTGGGAGCTGCAGCAAAGACTGAAAGAGACAAAGCCTGCCAAGTCCACAGTGTTGTGAAAGCACTCAATAAAGGTTCATTCTTCCCCCTTCTGTCTCCAGCTCCCTTTCACCAAATTCTTCATCCATTCCAACACACACTGTGAGCCTACTCTGTGCAAAGCACATTGAGCAGTATGAAGAATGTAAAAATGAATAACTCAGTCCCTGCCAAAAAGTCAGCCATGCCCTCACCCAGGGTATTATTTTATGTTGTTGAGAAATACCCAAATGAATCATTCATCTTTGAAATAAATGGCTAATGTCAAAACATTTACTAATGCAGACAAAGCTGACTGAAATAAATGGTTGAATAACCCATTGTTTGAAAACCTACAAGAGTAATATATATTACAATCAGATAAATCAAAATTACAAAAGATTTTCTGCTGCTTTTCAAAATGCTTGCCAGAAGTCTGTCAAATGACAGTTGGAAGGATAATAAGTTTAACAAGTGGTTGCGGGTTACCTCCAGGGAATGAAACCAGGGAGTGGGGCTGAGGAGGGGAAGGGAAGGGTTGGGGGGGCAAGGAAGAAGACCACTTTTCATTTTATAATTTAGAGTGTGTAAATTTTTCAACTAAATGTATGTATTTATTTTATAATAATTAAATAGCTAGTTAAATAAAAATATATTCATTACGGTACTTTTTAATGAAATAAAAAACCAGCTTGAACTAGCATTGGCAGAAGAGGGGATTCAGTGGCTTAGGATGTGAGCAGGGAGAAAGTGGAAGTAAACCCAGGGCCTGGACACTCTCTATCTCCCCATCTCGGTCACTAACTATTGTCTCTGTATCATTCATCCATCACTGTTGCCATGAACTAGAACCTCCGCTAATGGCTATTCCTGGCCTCACATCCTCATACCTTTGTGATTGGAAAAGAAAACAGTTTTTCCCTCTAGTTCCAGTTGGAAAATCCCCAGGAGAGGAACCCCGACTGACCTGGCTAAAGGCTGTTGCCTACCTATAAACTAGGATTGAAAGAGCGTCATTGGCTCAGTGTGGGTGAGGCAATGACTCCTCACTAATCAACGCAGCAGCGAGCAGGAACTACGTGACTTTCATGTGATCCATACACTGGGAGGAAAACGAACTGGGTAGAGCCAATCTAGAACGGAGGGAGTTGTTAGGAGCGTGGCAGCCCTCCCAGTTCGTCTCCAAAGGTCTCTTACCTGACTTAATCTGTGGACCCTGGTTCCCATACGTCTTCTGCCAAGAGTCCTGGCTTAAAGAAGACTTCAGACTCCTGATTTAGATACTCAAGCTTGGGTAAGCCTTCTCATGAAATAATTTGAGTGTCCAAGTCTTTTCCACTGAGGCCTAAGCATTGAATTATTAATTATCCTTGCTTACCTTTTGAGCCATATCCCATCAGATCAAGGACAGAACTATAAGCCCCTTGATTTCTTCTCATCTTTGCATTGCCAGCACTTTGTATTTACACCACTAGTATTAATTGAGCACCTACTATGTGCCAGGTGCTATTCTAGAGGCTAGGCATGCAGCAACAGGCAAAACATGCCTTACAGAGAGCGTGTGTTCTAGTGGATGAAACAGCAATAAACACACACACACACACACACACACAGGTACACACACACAGGTACATACACACAAAACATCTGCAGTCATTTCAGATCAAGATGTGGGCTATAAAGAGCCTTAAAGGAGGGTATGGGGACAAAGAGAATCAGTGTGGACAGAGGACATTTTAGAGATGTGGTCAAAGATGACTTCTTTAGAAAAGTGACGTTTGAACAGAGACCTGAGTGGAGTGCTTTCCAGAAAGACTCATCAGTGTGGACAAAGCCCTTAAGGTAAAAATGAACTTGACATGTTTGAGGAGCAGCAAAGGGGGCATCCCAGGCCAAGCGGACGAAAAAGGGGGCAGATGGAGGGAACTGAGGAAGGAGAGGCTGCTGGCCTCATCACATTCCGCCTTCCAGGCCACGGTGAAGACTTTTCATGTTATTCTAGGTGTGATGGGGCGCCTTAGAGTGTTTCAAGCAGGAGAGTGACATGATTTGATTTATGCTTGTAAAGTGTCTGATGGGAGGTAGGCTCTCAGTAAATATTTATTAACAGTTTAAAAAATGAAAAAGAACTCAGATAAAAAAAATATTTTAATAGGCTCCTTGGTAGGAGAGAGCCCATGCTCTCGGTTAATAACGAAATCAGACTGACATTTGTCCAGTATTCTCTAGCTTACAAAGCTCTTTACCTTGATGGTCTCATCTGACCTCTCATTTGGAGGAAGATATATGACTGTACAACATCAAGGCTCGAATGTGTCTCTACAGCTGTTAGGGAAGAGCGTGAGCTTAGGGCTCTAAAGATGCCACGGGGCTCCTTAGTGTGCGCTCCCAGACGGAGGCAGGGAGATTCTCACACTCATCTTCCCAGAGCCATCCTCAGGCTTAGTTTTGCCAGTCAGTGGCCCTGAGGAAACCAGATCAAGAGGAGATTATGTATGCTCTGGAAGATTTGCTTTTTTTTCTCTTTTTTTTCCACTCAAACATGAGGGTTTCTTTGGTGGTTAAAAACGAAAAATTATTTAACGTGCCCCTCAGGCCTGGGATTAAGGCCATTAGAAACCATGGCAGCAGGGAGCCCCTAAAGCAGCCGCTGATTTAAAGAGCTGGTGTCAAGGCCCTCAGTTACATCATGGGGCCACTCTCAGGAACAGGACTGGACAGCCAACACCCCCAGACTCGTGGCGCCTCATGCTACAGCCTCAGAAATCACAATGTCCTCTAGGTCTCTGGGCCTCAGTTAAAGTCATCTTTCCTGTGCTCTGCCCCCACCCAGATGGGGAAGGTGGAATTTCACCCATTTTTCTAGGGATGACAAAAGAGAGAGAAAGAAGGAAGAGGGGATAGATTCTCCAGGTTCCCCCCCACTATCTAACCTCCTCTCCAAGTAAACCAGGGTATCAGTGCTAGTTGTCCCACTGACAATCTCTGTGACCTTGGGCAGAGGCTGAGGCAGCTGTCTGGTGAGGCAATAGCAGATTTGAAACTCCAAGGTTCCTGGTTCAAAGTTATTGGCAAAAGACTGAGGCATTTCCAGCTCAAACCTCTTAATATGGTCCAGGGATTGAAGGCCCAGAGGTCAACAGTACTGGTTTCAGTGGCTGGCTTTTACTATTGAAATGCCATCTCTGCCACTTTAGATGTGGTGCTTAAAATGTCCTTAGCCTCTGGGTATTTTTAAACATTTCTTTGTGCCACTTTCAAGCTACTTCTTACAAGAATCCTAAAATAGGGCCCTTAGAATTTGGGGAATGAATGTAATTGTTAATGTACATTTATTTTGCCGATGATTAGACATTATACATTATAATCATCCACAAAATGCAAGTATGTGTTCCAGACTCCACTATACAGTCGTAATAGAAAGTAAATTACATTTTTTTGTTGTCAATCATGTTTATTAAGTTGAAAGGAAAAAAGGAGTCTCCTCTCCCCAGCAGTCTGAAAAGTGAGAGGAAAATGAATTTATTTTATGTTGGAGGACTAGGTTAAAAAATGTAATTAACAGATGCAATTATGCATTCTGATGCAAAGTGCTCTAAGCTGACAGGGAACTTGCGGAGCTCCCAGGCCACAGGCTGCAAAATCTCTAACAACTTTATTCTTATTCCCTGGCCTATGGTTCAATCTTGCTTCCTTTGAGTATCTCCTGCAAATAAAAGGCCCTATTCTTCAGCTTCCCACAGCTTTATTCAGAATGAAAACACCACTTTGTGCCCACGTTGTGTTAAAATAACAGATTTGTGTTCATTCCTGTAGGTTTCCGATGGGAGGAGGGAGACGGTCTATCTTCACTGCTGATGGCGAGGTGCCTTTTGGAGGAGGAGGATGGAGAGAAAGGGTCTCCAACAGCGAACCTTTGTCCTGCAATGCAAATGAGCCTCTGCAAAACAGGGTGCAGACAATGCCAGCCTAGTCCTCTGCGTGAAGCGATCCATCTGCAGCTATTTTGTTAACCTGATGTTTCTTACATTCTTTCTCTCACACAAAATACTTGATGTTGACAGCTGTGAATTTTAAACAACCATTCTGTGTATGTTTTTCTAATTTTGTGTATTCAGATTGTTTCTCCATATTGGGGGGGGGCTGGAAGCCAAGTACTTTACGTTCCTTCATTTAGAGATTTCATGCTTTTCGAAGTCGTGGCGATTCTGATTGCTAAACTAAGTAGAAGTGAAGTGTGCTCACCACCAGCATTGGAATGACCGGGGAGTGCAGAAGCACTTTTGAAATAAAAAAAAGGTTGCACAAGATTACACGCCAAAGCGGCCTGGAGGCACGACTCAGGAGTGACACATCACTCAGACATGCTCTGGTGGCCTGGAGTAGCTGCGTCTGCCCTCACTTACCTGTAAAATGGGGCTGCAACAACATTCTCAAAAGGCAGAAAACAAAGATCTCATATATCCAGGTCCATCAACCCAGTTTTATTTCCCCTTTCCAGTTCTAGTTATGTTGTTCTGGCAGCCAGTATTTCTTCTTAGGTAGCATGCAAAGGCATGGATTTGTTTTAGGCATGAAGGAAAATAAAACATGCTCTCAGACTGAGGCCTGCGTTGACACGACACCACAATTGGGCGCATGGTTTTAAAACCTGTTTACTTATTTATTTATACCTTTGCCTCATTGATAGAAGGCAGTTCACCACCCAAACTACAAATGATAAAAACAAAACCTCTGGACAAGAAAAAAAGAAACTGCAAATAGGGCAATTATAAGGCTCATTTTGTTTTCTACCATTGAGCTTTGAAATCTGACTCACAGCTTCCTGGCAGCAAGAGTGAAAAGCGGATGATGACTAATGACAAAGCCTCACTTCACTGGAATATATGGTTCTTCAAAGGGGAGAAGAATTTCCCAGATGCTACATTTTCAAATAAATTTTGACCTCAGGGCTCTTTATAAGGGGACAATGAGAACAGAAGTTCAGTGTTAACTGTGAGAGCAAACAGAGTTGCAGAATTGCCAGGGCCAGAGTGAAAAAGTGAAGCAAATGGGCACTAGACTAGTGTGCACTCCAGCTGCCTGGTGGGGGGTTCAGAGTCTTGTTCTGAGAAGATTCAAGACCACATCTAGGCTGGGCCACAAAGAGACTATACTTCTTTAGAGATGCCTGCCATAAGTAGAGTGCGGATGATGGTCCACACGTGTGCTGAATAACTCCAATAACTTTGGCCTAACCACAGCACAAATGAGCAGGTTTCTGGTGTCCAACTTGATCCAAAGATAGAGCCTAGTGGAGTGGATGGCAATCAGGATTCTTAGATGTCACTGAACAACACTTTTCACACTGGGACTTTGAGAGGAGCTAGAAGGCTGACTGGAGTTTCTATCAATGCTTTGAAGACAAGGTAAACAGATGGTGGGCTTGACAGTCTGAACTGCAGAAGCCTGACTTGGAATGATACCCAATTCAGCACTGTACCACCTCCACAGAGGCACGGAATGGATACTCTTTTTTTGTAATTTGTAAAATATTTTTTCGTATAGGGTACTCTTTAGGGAATTTCCACTTTTCATATTTTGTGTTTCTCTATTATTTGAACTTATAACACAAATCAGAGAAGAATATATACATTATTTTAAATTAGTCTTCTTCCCTTTTCTTTTTTATTTTCCCTCCCTCCCTCCCTTCTTCTCTTCCTTCCTTCTTTCTCTTTCTTTCTTTTGCTACAAGTATTCCAACAACCTGTAAAGACTACCTTTAGGGTGCAATAAAGCAAAAAAATTTGATTAATAGGAACTCATCTAATGGTTTCATTCAGACTACCCTTGGAAAGGAACAGATACTAAGAAAGGAACCTCAAAGTCTACGGTGGCTACAGATGTTTCACAGACCCTGAAAATTCACTCCATCTCACCCAGTCTTCAGGATCTCCACTTCAACAGGACAACAGTCAAAGGGGTATCACGAAGCCCTGTCATCAAGAAAACGAGTTAAGAAACAACAAAACCATTCACTTCATTACTAATCAAGGCAGGAACTACGAAGTAATACCCTAGAACAAAAATGGTTCAAAAATGAAATGGTTGTGCTGAAGGCAGAAAGCCATCGGGCCTAGATCCACAGACACGGCCCTCTGTGCACGAAGACCTCAAATTCTCTTTCAGTTGCCAGATTCTGCTGTTCTGACAGTGTCTAAACACACTTTCAGAAGACTTTGTAACAAAGCGAATTTTTCAAAGCGGTTTTCTGGTGAGGCTTCAGTTAATCAAAAAATCAGATTAATTGTGCATGAACTTCTATATCTGGGACCAGTTTGACCCATGGAATATGCAAATCTGCATAAAAGTAAGTCGGATCAAAGTGGGGCTCTCTGGTATTTGTTTTAGAGCATGGAAGAATGGGAAAACAGGACAGTTAGGGCTGGGGGCCAAAGAAAATGCTATATTTAGATGTGCAGGGCTTTGTTTGTCCCTGATACCAGCATAGACACAGCTAGTCGGGAACAAGGGGGCCATTCAATCAATCCACCTGACACGCTGTCGCCAACCCTGGCGTTCCACAGGCACGGGGCTCAAAACCATCCTGAAAGAGGCTGTCGACTGAGAAGAGGTAACAGCTGCTCTGTGGCAATTAACCAGCAGTTTCTGTTGCTGAAGGAGATTATTTTGGATGGCGTAAAGAGATTCAAATAAAAATGTCAACGTGCCCATTATGGATGAAAGTTAGAAAAACTTAAGTGGCCCTGAATTAATCACTATTTGACAGGAAAGCACGTAAACGAGTACTAAAAATCCCCCACAAATCTATTTTCCTGCCTTTTTGGTGATTGTAAAGAAGCTCACTGGGGGTAGGGAGGGCATTTCTTGGCTGCAACCTTAATTCATCTTGGAGTGAAGATTTAACGACAAAGTTACAAGCCCCTAAAGTAGCATTTATTGAGGGGCTAATGAGAGTCCCTAAGAACTCTGTAAAAAAAAAAAAAAAAAAAAAAAGAAAGAAAGAAAAAAATAGCAGCCACTAACACAAGAGGCCTTTGAAAATACCGAAGAGAGGAGAGTTCATTAGTCTTTTTTTTCTTCCCCTGTCTCAACAATGAATGTTTCTGCTGCCAAACCTTCAGGAATAGGGTTGGTTTCCTTTCAAGTAATTGATGCAGACTTTGCTTGTGCATCGGAGTCCAGACACCCTCTCCAACAAGAAGCAGGAAATCTCACCGTCAAAGGGAAACTGTGCATTCCTTCCTCCCTGGCTGGGTCAGGCCCTTGCAAACAGTGGATTTATGCTGCCCTTGCCAAAACACCGCCGATTTCCATGCCCTCCCATGGCTAAGATAACGAATGCTGCTTTCGGCTTCTGAGAGCCGCACTTATTTAAAACTCCAGCTATGCTGTAACAAAACCGGCTGCTGTCACCCCAAATCGAGCAAATGAGCCCCTGTCCTACAGCATAAAGGCTAAGAGAGTTATTGAATGTCCCCTGTGGAGAAGGCCCCATTCGCCCCTGCCCTTCCTTGGCATGCTCCCCCACCCCCCAATCTTCCCAACCCTCTAGCCTCCACTCCTCCCCGCTAGGAGCACAGGAAGGAATCGCTGTGGCTGGTTTGTTCCAAAAGGATCAAGTTTTCTTAAGTCAGATTTTTTTTTCTTTTAAAGAAAAAGCAGAATGGAAAGGAATGTCGTGAAGAAAATGGAAGTTGGCAAAGTGTTTTAACTTCAAATAATCTTCCGGTCAGTGCTAACGCCCAAGCGTAATGCTCTTTTGCAAACATAAATATAACTAGGGAGTGGAGAAGGAAGGAGAGGGGCTGTAAACAGCCAAATGTAAAACACGTATCATGACTGCTGGTGGCTCAAGGCAGAGAGGAGCGTTGCTTTTGGAGCTATTATCCCCGAGGAGTCTCAAAGATGATCTATAACATGTAATTAAACTGACGTGCAGAAAACATGTGTATTTAGAAAATGCTCTCACTGTTGTTTATACCTGACCAAAACATTCCATTTCTCTCAGGATACAAAAGGAAGGTTTTGCAATAAAAATGCCTCCATTTGGAGAATACATTTATTGAAATGCTGTTTTCCACAGCTGCATTCATCTGAGATCTGGGAGATGATTCCTATTGGTACAATACCCTCCTGCTTGGGGAGGTTTATGCCTCATGGCACAATACCAGTGGTTCAGTAGCCAGATTGCCTAATTCTCAAAGAACTGTTTGCTTGACATCACCTGGGGAGAAACTCAGACTAATTCACCCCTCACTGGGGCACATGTGTATTTCTGAGAACATCTCTTTAAACACAGTCACACCCTGAAGGCTGCACATCAGACATTTTACCTCCTAAGGGTGACAAAATACAGCAGAGCTTAAATGGATGTTTTTCAGCTGCATATAAATAGTCCTCAGTTCCAAGGGTAAAGCTAGAAGCCAACTGTTGGCTAAAATCATACCTTGCTGTCTTCAGGACTTGTGCTGTTGGGACTGGGAATTCTAAGGGTGATTATAATAATAAGAAGATTAATAGTAATTATACATAACGTTATCATAGTGTCTTTCACTTATGTACCAAATAATGGGGGACTACTTTGTATTCATTTTCTCAGTTAAGCCAGGCAACATCATCTCAAGATTGGTCATATTAGCTTCACTGTAATGATGAGAATTCAGGAGCTCAGAGAAGTTAATTAATGTGCCATGTTCACACAGTGAGTATACAGAATTCAAACCAGGACTGGCCTAAATACAAAGCTTTCTTCTGAATCGCTATGCTAGTCTGTTCTTTCCGCAGCTACCTGTGTCCACACATGGCTGATTCTGTAGCCACACTTTCTTCCTTATAAACTCTGGTCTGGCCACCATATATAACCCTGCACTTCACAAGGGAGGCTGTGTAGTAGTCTAGTGATTAAGAGTGCATGGGGCCGGGCGTGGTGGCTCAAGCCTGTAATCCCAGCACTTTGGGAGGCTGAGGCGGGTGGATCATGAGGTCAAGAGATCGAGACCATTCTGGTCAACATGGTGAAACCCCGTCTCTACCAAAAATACAAAAAAAAATAGCTGGGCACGGTGGTGTGTGCTTGTAATCCCAGCTACTCAGGAGGCTGAGGCAGGAGAATTGCCCGAACCCAGGAGGCGGAGGTTGCAGTGAGCCGAGATAGCGCCATTGCACTCCAGCCTGGGTAACAAGAGTGAAACTCCGTCTCAAAAAAAAAAAAAAAAAAGAGTGCATGGAATGGAGTTAGATTGCTTGGCTCTGAAACCTAACTCTGTCACTTACCAGGTGGGTGATCTAGTGTAAATTTTCCAGCCTGTGTGTTTACCAATAAAATGAGAACATTAAACATTCTTATATAATGTGGTTGTTTGTTGTAAAGATAAAATGGGATAACGTACCTAAATGTAGCATAATTTCTGACACATACTAATTACTCAATGTTAGGATAGAAGGAAAGAGAAGAAAAGAAAAGAAAGAAAGAAAGATGAAGAAAGAAAGGAAGGAGAACGGAAAAGAATAAAGGGAGAAAAAAGAAAGAAAAAGAAAAAGAAAAGAAGGGAGAGGGGGAGGGAAGCAGGGTAAAAAAGAAAGGAAGAAAAAAGAAAAGAAGCAAACGAAAGGAAGGGGACATGTTCTCAGCCCCATTAAACCACCAGAGAGAAGCCATTACTGACAGAGGACGCTGTAATACAGAGACCACCTTGAGGCTTCAGACAAGCCTAGTGGGCAGCACCCAGGGCCAGTCACACCATTTATTGGCCCTACGTCTATTCAAAGGCTGACTCACCCCAGCGGGCTCCCAAGATGATGCCTACACCTTTCCAGCTTCCCATCTTCTCTGTCTTGCAGGAGAAGTGAAGCCATCTTGCCCCAGCATTCTCAGCTCTGATCAGGTCAGTGCTGACTTCTCAGCCAATCACCAAAGCCTGTGGAATGCCACGTGCTGATTGGTTTTCTCCCATCACATGCTTCTCCCCCTAGCTCAGGAAATAGAGTCCAACGTTCCAGAAGAGCACAGATGGAAAACGGAGGAAGAAATCACTTCCTAGAGGGAAAGGGGGGTGCAATTATCAGGAAAAGAATGAATGCAGAAATGACAAGCTGAAGTCTACCACGAGCAAAACTTGCCTGCAGAGTACATAACCTCTTCTTGGCATTGCTTGTGTCAGTTGAGTTGCTGTGGTTAAGAACTAGTGTTCTAAGATCTGATGGCTTGAGTTTGAGCCCTGGCTCCATAATCTACTAGCTGTGTGACCCTTGGCCAGTTAATTCACCTCTCTGCTTCAGTTTCATCACTTGTAAATGTGCTTAATAGTATTACTCTTCTCATGGTTTGCTAAGAATTATATGTGTACATTAAAGCACATAACATGATAACAGCACGTGCTAAGCCCACAAACTTTAGTCATTTAACATTCAACCGGTATTTGTTGAGCACCTGCTACATGCCAACTATGTGTTAAGTACTTGGAATACATTGGTGAACCAAACAGAAAGATAACAACAAGCTCCCTTGACTTTATGGAGTTAACCTTCTAGTGCAGAAAGACAAATAATAAAGAATAAACAAAATTTAAAAATTAAAACAAAATTTTAAAAGTGGGAAAAAAAATTAGGTTAGTTAAAGCAAAGATTTGGAGAGGTCAATGAGTTAGACAACAGGATATGGGGTTGGGAGAGAGGGTGTTCCAAGCAAAGGGGGTAGGCAGTGCCAAGTCCCAAAGTGGGAACACACCTATGATGTTGCAGGAGCAGCAAGGGACCAGTGTGGCTGGAAGGTTAGAGGTGACATTAGCAAGATAAGACAAGGTCAGATGAGGAAGCAAGTGGGAGCTCCATGAAGGCTTTGGATTTGACTCTGAGGGACATGGGAGGAGGGTTTACCTGACATTACTTATTTTATGCAAGGACACTGCTGTGTCAAAAATAGAATAGCTCCTGATGATGATGATGACATATCTATTCACCTGTTTAAAAAGCAAGTGTATTGTAAAGCTTGCTGTGAAATATGCCCAGAGCAAATGCTACCGGTGTGCTGTTTGTTTCCTACCTGAAGGAGAAGATGCACCTGAGATGCTCCCGTGACACATCTCCTTTTCCAACAAAGTGACTTTGGATTTGACTCCGAGACCAAGAGATTTGCAGATCCTTGACATTTCAGTTGCACTTGCTATTATAAATGACTACTTGGAAGAGGTCTTCTCTGTTCAAGAAAAACTTCTGCCAGGAACAGCACTGGTCTCAGGAAAAACATGGTTTTTGGAATCAACAGCCACAATGAGAGCTTGTTAAAGATTTAAATGGCTTCTGATTTCAGCCCAATAATTCCATTTCAACAAGGTGATCTGGCAGTGTCAGCATTCAGTTTGTTTAGCATATCTTATGGCACTGGAAATTCTAAGAACTGACAGATGGAGCCTAAAAACTATGTCCCAGCAAGTGGATGATGAGCATGTTGGTGATTCTCAGAAATAGATAGGCTGTGTTCCGGAGGGGCAGGGCCAGATAGAAGGGAAATTATATGACCAGTTGTTTTAGGTAATTTTATGCAATCTCTTAGAAACTTCATGCTGCCTTGGTAAGGTTTGGGCTTTCTTTGCAGAGATGAAAAGAGAAGTTTCCCTCTATTAAACACCTAGCTTGAAGTGTAGGACACAGTGACTGTAACCCTAGTTAGACTTGCAGGTAGTTCAGTGCGCTATAGGGATGAGAGATCCCTGGAGACCATTCCAAGGAGAAAGATGCCTATTCAAGTGCTTAGTATCCCCAGTCTCTTAGAAGCCATTAAGGAATCTCACTTGCAAATTGCCTAAAACCTTCTGGGATTCATTGAAGCTTCCAGTTAGTATTCTTGCTTAAGAGTAATAAATTTTCTGTCTGTTTTTCTACCTTCTGGTCTTTTAAAAGAGCTTTTTATTAAAGTAGAAAACTTTTATAGAAGTTTGCACAAGTAGCATTGTACAATTAGATGAATTTGCACAAAGTGAACATCCTGGTGTAACTAGTGCCTGAAACAAAGAACATTGCCGAAGGTCAGGTGCTCTTCAATGGGAACCACTTTCTGGACTTCTAATGCCATAGAGTAGGTGGGGCTGAGTCTTTAAATCTCCATATACATGAAATTGTACTGTATATCTTTTGTATCTGATTTCTATCATTCACTATTGTTTGTGAAATTCATCCATATTGTTTTCTGTAGCAATAGTTTATTTTTGTTGCTATATTCCATTTTGTGAATATTCTACAATTTCCATGTCCAATTTACTAATGGATTTTTGAGTTATTTCTAATTTCTATTATAAATGAAGCTTCTATACATATTCTTGGAAAACATATATTTATTCCTTTTGGGTATATACCTAGGATAGAAATTGCTGGGTCATAGGAGACGTGTGTAGGGTGAGTAGCTACTGACAGTTTTTCTAAGTGGTTCTACCAATTTTTCCATGAAGGTTCCACTTACTTCACATCCTTGACAACTTTGGCATTTTCAGTCTTTTTCACATTAGCCATCTGGTGGGTGTGAAGTGGCAACTCACTGTGACTTTAAACGCAAACTATTATTTTGAAATTCAACTATGAGGCATTTTTGGATTCCTGCTCTGTGCTAGGTACTACATTAAACATCTGTACATACTTTATTTCATTCTTATGAAAACTTTAGCAGGCTCTATCTGATGTAGTAAGATCATACATAGGGTGACCAACTATCCTGATTTGGCCAAGACACAGAACCTTCAGTGCCATAACCAGGATAGTCTCAGAAAACTGAGATGGCTAATCAGCCTACAGCTAGGAAATGCTACAGCAAATAATCAAACAAAGATTTCCTCACTTCAAGAAGTTCTAGTCTCTCTCTCTGTTTTCTTTTTCTTTTCTTTTTTTTTTTTTTTGAGGCAGGGTCTTGCTCTGTCACCTAAGCTGGAGTGCAGTGGCTTGATCATGGTTCACAGCAGCCTCGAATTCCTGGGCTCTAGTGATCCTCCCCCCTCAGCCTCCCAAGTAGCTGGGATCACAGGCATGTACCACCTCACTCAGCTAATTTTTAAAAATGTTGTTTGTAGTGATAGGGTCTTGCCATGTTGCCCAGGCTGGCCTTGAACTGGGCTCAAGAGATCCTCCAACTGCAGACTCCCAGAGTGCTGGGATTATAGGTGTGAGCCATTGTGCCTGGTTTATTCTCCCTTCTTTATGTTCTTATTACTCAAAGTGAGGTCCCTGGACCACCAGCAGCAGCCTCACTGGGAGCTTGTTAGAAGTGTAACATCTCCCAATGAGACTGCAGAGAAAAGGGCAGGCTTATATGCTACTGGTGGAGATGGAAATTAGTTCAGGCATTGTGGAAAGCAAAGTGGTAGTTTCTCAAAGAATTATCATTTGAGCCAGCAATTCCATTCCTGGGTATATACCCAAAGGAATAGAAATCATTCTACCATAAAGACACTTGCATGTGTATGTCCATTGCATCACTATTCACAATAGCAAAGATGTGGAATCAACCTAAATGCTCATCAATGGTAGACTGGATAAAGAAAATGTAGTACATATACACCATGGAATGCGACACAGCCATAAAAAAGAATAAGATAATATTCTTTGCAGCAGCATGGATGGAGTGGGAGGCTTTTATCCTAAGCAAACTAATGCAGAAACAGAAAACCAAATACTGCATGTTGTCACTTATAAGTGCAAGCTAAACATTAAGAGTATATGGTCACAAAGAAAAGAAAAACAGACACTGGGGCCTACTTGAGGGTGAAGGGTGGGAGGAGGAAGAGGATAGAAAAACTACCTATTGTATATTATGCTTGTTATGTGGGTGACAAATAATCTGTACACTAAGTCCCCATGACATGCAATTTACCTCTATAACAAACCTGCACATGTACCTTGAGCCTAAAAGTTTAAAGAAGGAAATAAATATATTTTAAAGAATTAAAAGAAAGAAATGCAGCATCTCAAGCCTCACACAGACTTACTGATTCAGAATAGCATATTAGCAAGCCCCCCAGGTGCTGTGTCATGTGTCTATTAAAGTTTGAAAAGCGTTACTCTATGCCAACAGTTCTCAAACGGCTGCACTTAGGAATTACCTGACAACTTTACTGTTTCTGTTGCCTAGACTCTATTTCCAAAGAGTCTTATTTAATTGGTATAGGATGTGGCCTGGACAATGGCCAGCAACAATTTTTTTAATCCCACTGGGTTGTTTTAACCTGCAGCCAAGTTTGAGGACCAGCACTCTGGCCAATGTCATGCATCCTCAGATGGTATCTTTTCAGGATTACTAGCAAGTTTGTGTTCACCTTTATTTGCATAGTTCAAAGTGTTTAAAGATTAAGATAGATTGAACATGGTTGAATAGGAACAGCTCCGGTCTGTAGTTCCCAGTGAGACCAAAGCTGAAGGCAGGTGATTTTGGCATCTCCAGCTAAGGTACCCGGTTCATATCATTAGGACTGGCAAAAACTGAAAGCATTTCCTTTGAAAACTTGCACAAGACAGTGATGGCTTTTCTCGCCACTCCTATTCAACATAGCATTGGAAGCTCTGGCCAGGGCAAGAGAAAGAAAGAAATGGTATTCAAATAGGAAGAGAGGAAGTCAAACTGCCTCTGTTTGCAGATGACATGATTGTATGTTTAGAAAACCCCATCATCTCAGCCCCAAAACTCCTTAAGCTGATAAGCAGCTTCAGCAAAGTCTCAGGATACAAAATCAACACACAAAAATCACAAGCATTCCTATACACCAATAAAAGACAAAAAGAGAGCCGAATCGTGAGTGAACTACCATTCACAATTGCTACAAAGAGAATAAAATACCTTGGAATACAACTTACAAGGGATATGAGGGACCTCTTCAAGGAGA